ATTCTAATCCAACTTTCATACGTGGAACTTCATCGATGCAGCAAGTAATTCTATGTATCGTTATTTATACATTGTAAAATTAACCTACATCGCAATAGGAATGTGTATGAGAAGAACATGGTGGAAAAAATATGGTTTCCACGACGTAGTATTATTTTTATCGAAAAAAAAAAAAACAAAAACAAAGGCCGCGTATCGTGTTGCACGAGCTGGACACGTCACGCGGTCACCGGCTATTTCATAGTTTTCTTTTCTTTTCGTTTCTTTTCTTTTTCCTCGATTACGTAAAATCCATTTTACCTACTATAATCGAACATTAGATCGTTCAGTCTTTTGGTAAATTGCAGCGTCCACGAAAGTGGCAACGCGTCTCTCTGGTCGGTGAAGGTTAAATAATAACTTTTACACATAGAATATCATCGTCGATAGCCGAGGAGAAAGGAATTTTTTATCTCGTTTATCTATGGATATTACAACGATACGATTGCTTCTTCCTTTCGAAGATATATGAATTTTTAGTTGGATTGTATACCCGTATTCGATGTCGATGGATATATTATAAAAATTAGAACGAAACTTATTTGTATTAACATGTTCGCTGCCATCAAAGAAATATTAAGGGCATGCGCCATCTATTTCTAGTTCTGTAAATCATCAATACACGGACATACTCATACCAACAATGGAACCTCTGGTGCGCAGAATGTAATACGATACTAAATTACATTGTCATCGTGTGAATGTGTTGATGTAGTATATAGTAATCCGTGTATATCTATCACCAATGTTTCGATAATAACAATAAACGTGTTTGAAGAATGATATCGATATTTCTTTTATAACTATGAATATCTAGTGGTAATTGATTCTTATTGATGCAATATCAAAGTATTACCGAAGCATTGTCGAAACACATACAAAATATCACATGTACAAATGGATAGTTTCGACAGTGGCAGCGAATATGTTGAATTATCGTCGTCAAAATGTAACGAAACATTTTCATGCTATAGTTATCGTATAGACTTTACTATATATATCGCATTCAAAAGAACACTAGTCTCGACAAGTGTTATATAATATATGTATATGTATATATATATATATATATATATATAAAAAAAAAAAAAAAAAAAAAAATGCATCGACAAATTGAAAATTGTCCAGTTTTTGATATAAACGGATCCCGACATCTGGGTTTCGAATAGGTTAAAAAAGTCTCTTTTAGAAAACGGAAGAGAAAAAATCAGTTAGACGTCCGCTTGTCGAGGACACGGTTGGTAAAAAAAAAACAATATAAAAATACAATTATGTAGGATGCCACCCCGTTCTTTTATACAATAATTAATTATATTCGCAGACTTTTTCTTTATACGTTGATTATTGGTGACAACGATATTTCTCTTTTTCTTCTTTTTCCAATTTTCTTTTAATGCGCGATCGTCTTTACTGTTCTTCCATTTCTTCCTCTTCGTTTCCTCTTCTCCAGTTTTTTTATGTATCATCATTCTTCAATATCTCGGCTCAATTTTCGCGATTTTTAAATTTTTAAAATCGTCCACGCAGCTCCGTTGCAGCAAGTTTAACGCTTAATATTTTTTTTTTTTTCCTTTTTCTTTTTATTCAACATTACCGATGAATTTAACGAATCATGTTTAGGACCATGAGATGGTCGCCAAACGTAATTTTTTTANTTTTTTTTTTTTTTTTTTTTTTTTTTTTTTTTCTAACTTTTCACAGAGAGATATACCATACTCACATACTAATCGTTCCTTTGACAATATTTATACATTCACGCAAATCCGTCTCGTATAATTGCTTTTCATCAACCGTAACGCGTAGAAACACGCGTTTTGTCTTCCTTAATTAAAATTTAAAATCCTAATATTTGAAATTATTATTTTCCAATTAGGAAAAAACGTTATTGAAAAAAAAATAAATTGGATCCTTATAAAATTTTACAAATTAAAAAAACCATATAGAAATTAAAAATATAGATAGATACAAAACAAAAACAAAAAAAAATATTGAATAGGATATTTTAATTAAGGAGGATAGTGTTATAATCGAATATTCTTCATTACACTTTATGAAAATACGAATTGAAAATGAAAAATGTACAAAATATCACTCACATGGAAAATCGAAGTTATAATAAAGAATATTCGAGGAAAACAGCGTAATTTATAAATTGAAGCTTATTAAGCTATTAGTATCATTCTCTTGCTTCTCTCTCCCTCTCTCTCCCTCTCTTTCTATCTCTGTTTTCCTTTCATCGATCCATGAAAAAATTCCCGAAAATATAGTTTCTCCAATGTTTTTTCTTTGTTTTTTTTTTTCTTTTTTTTTTTTTCTTTATCAATTCACATTCATTTCTCTTCTAACTTTTTATTTTTTTCTTTTTTTCTTTTTTTTTTTCTCTTTCTCGCTACCTTTCAGTCAATAGATTCGTAGTCTCTGTCTCTTCCATTCTCTATCTTCCGTTCCCTCAATTGCTCAATCTGCCTTTCATACCGTAAATGATATACATTCATTCTTGAGCTTAGCACCCTTCAATTTCAGCCTTCCTGTGTTACAAAGGAAACACGCTTCGAAAGTCCCGCGTATCATGACGCACTGCCTTCAGTTCGCGTATCACGATTTAATACGCAAAAATATTTCATCTTGAGCAAAACATTTGGGTGTGTCTAATGCTAAGAATATGTATGTGTGTATGTGTTATGTATGTATGTTGTGTGCATGCGTGCGCACGCGCACTTATATATGTATGTATGTATGTATGTATGTATGTATGTATGTATGTATGTATGTATGTATGTATGATGTATGTATGTATGTATGATGTATGTATGTATGTATGTATGTATGTATGTATGTATAATATACAGTTAAATTAAACCGGAAGTTGTGATGTGGAAAAAGTCGTTCGTTGTAAAAACTTTGAAAAGAATTATTCCAAAATTACGTTATTTGAAAAGTATCGTTTGCTTGAGTTGTTGACAAAAAAAAAGGTCTTGTAAAAAAAGTTTTTAGGAAAAATGCATTTTTTTTTTTTTTTTTTTTCATTTTCTTTCTTATTTCGGTTTAACGCGTTTACGTCGATCTCTGTTAATTTCTTTTACGAAGAAAAACAGAACCACAGAACATAGTTGAACTATTTATGTGGTCGTTTCTATCCAATAACCATAAATTGTTCGGCTCTTTCTAGCTACCCTGTATACACGTGCAGAGTTCTCGACTCTGCTTAATCGCAAAAACGAGAAACAAAGATATGCATTTCTCTTGTAACACGGTGTGTATGGTATATGCTCCAAAAAAAAAAAAAAAAAAAAAAAGAAAGAAACAGAAACATATAAAAATATATTCCAATGTGGAGGCCATCTTTGTTTTCCTCATCAAATCAAAATCGTATGCAAAAATACTCGTGAGGAATCATCGTCGATCGATCGATTGATTCACAATAATTTAATTAATTATTAAATAATCGGTTTAAATCGTTGAAATGATCATCGAATTACAAACTATTCGATAAACAAGTTGAATCGGTTAATCGAATCGGATTAGCCCGATAACGAATACATAATTATATGTGTTTATATATTAATATACAAATTTTTATTAATATTCATTAAAATATTACTCAATAAACGTCATTATATATATATATATTTATATAATAAATTTATATATACTTCATTATCTTATCATTACTATTAATAAATATACAGCAGAGGTGATCACGTAATCAGACATGATCATCACATTCGATTAACCGAACGCCATTGCGCGTGTTTATTCATCCATTTATTTTATTCAATTGATCGATCGTCGGAGCAAAATGCTTCGATACCCTCCCGCATTTTACATATTTATCGATTATCCTATCACTTATCGATTCGTGAACATGTCTTTCCTTTAAAAAAAAAAAAAAAAAAAAAAAAAGAAAAAAAAAAAAAAAAAAAAAGAAACCAAGTCCCGGCAGGCACCGGAAAAATTGAAAAAAAAAAATCGAAACAAAAAAACGAAAAAAAAAAAAAAAAAAAAAAAAAAAAAAGAAAGATACAGAAACATATAAAAATATATTCCAATGTGGAGGCCATCTTTGTTTTCCTCATCAAATCAAAATCGTATGCAAAAATACTCGTGAGGAATCATCGTCGATCGATCGATTGATTCACAATAATTTAATTAATTATTAAATAATCGGTTTAAATCGTTGAAATGATCATCGAATTACAAACTATTCGATAAACAAGTTGAATCGGTTAATCGAATCGGATTAGCCCGATAACGAATACATAATTATATGTGTTTATATATTAATATACAAATTTTTATTAATATTCATTAAAATATTACTCAATAAACGTCATTATATATATATATATTTATATAATAAATTTATATATACTTCATTATCTTATCATTACTATTAATAAATATACAGCAGAGGTGATCACGTAATCAGACATGATCATCACATTCGATTAACCGAACGCCATTGCGCGTGTTTATTCATCCATTTATTTTATTCAATTGATCGATCGTCGGAGCAAAATACTTCGATACCCTCCCGCATTTTACATATTTATCGATTATCCTATCACTTATCGATTCGTGAACATGTCTTTCCTTTAAAAAAAAAAAAAAAAAAAAAAAGAAAAAAAGAGAGAAAAAAAATATCCTCTTGAGTTGTTCGACTATGACCTCTCTTTTGCATAGAATAATTTTATCTTATACGTTCAAGCTGATACTCGAAATTAGGGTACGACTCGATCAAGTTAACGCGATTAAAGGAACGTCGTCTCGATTTTTTTTTTTTCTTTTTTTTTTGTTTTTTGTTTTTTTTTTAAACCAGTCTTTCATTAGGCTCTCTGCTTCAACTATTAGAATTTTCTCATTACCGACTGAATATCTTAATCTCTTTCTCTCATTTTTCTTTCTCTCATTTTCGCTCTCGCTCTCTTCCATATTCTCGCTCCCTTTCTCGCGCATAGTAATGCGGCACTTAAAAAGTTTTATTGCGATAAAAGTATGTTACAGTCAGAGTGAGTGTCCATGTGTGTTTCGAGCACTTCCGTATTTGTCAACGATCGATTTTTTTTTTTTTTTTTTTTCGACAATCGACTGCCAATTTTCTTTCACTTCAGGTCCTCCATTGCGCCATAATTGGCCAGAGATTTTTTAATCCTAAGCGCGGTTAATCTAGCTGCCGCGTTGTGATACCAACATTCTTTCATCACCTTTGACATCACTTGCAATGCCTAAAAAAAAAAAAGAAAAAAAAGAAAAAAAAAAGAAAAAATGAAAAATGGAATTTATGTTGGAAAAAAGGAAAAAGATAGAATGATGAAGGAATATAGTACGTACGTCAATAGACTGCCACCGATTCGGTATCGACGGCCTCTGTCTGTCGGTGCACACAACTTTACGCATCTCTTCAATCGTCGGATCGGAAGGCACCAAGTCGTAAAACGGCAGCTGATATTCGTCGTGGATTCCGCCGACGTTACATCGCCTCGCGATCTCCCAAAGGATCAGCCCGAGAGCGTATACGTCAGCCCTCTTGAAGGAATCAAAATGGTTCATGTTTATCGTCTCTTCGAGAACCTGAAAGCAAAAGCAACAATTCTCAGGATTCTGGAGAAGAAATTTTCGCTTATCTATTTCGAGATCGAAAATTAATTTCAAAGATATTAATTTAATGATTGAGATTATATTTTCACAAATTTCGAAATTTTATAGGTACGAAAATAAATTAAAACGACAATAAATGAAGGAGCAAAAGATGTTTCTCACTGCTGGTAATATAATTATCCTCAAAAAAAAAAATTAAATTATCTAGCAGACAATGTGAATATATTGTTTTCGCTTAGAGCAGAGAATTTATTAAATAAATTTTTTTAAAAAATGATATTTTAATCTATCATTAATTTGAAATAAGGATATATTAATGTATATATATATATATGAGTATTTTCAATACAAAATCATTGAAAAATTTTTTCAATTATATTATCAAAATCAGAAATATTCATCAAAATAATTTTTCAATGAATAACGAAATTATTAAATGAATTTTTTTATTTATAATTTTTTATTTATTTTACCTCGGGTGCCATATATCGCTTAGTGCCGACCCGATTGTTCAATTGTATATCGACGGTGTCTGTTATTACGTCATGTCTGACAGCCAATCCGAGATCACCAATCGCGCATGTGCCATTCGTTTTCACAAGGATGTTCTTTGACTTGAGATCCCTGTGAGCAATGGCGGGCTTCCCTTGAGTACCAACGATCTCCATGTGAAGATGCGCAAGCCCGGTAGCAATCGACAAGGCCATCCTGATCATGCCATTTGTGTCCACGGTAGATCTGTTCAGATAATCGAACAGCGAACCTTTCTCATGATAATCCGTGATTAACCATAATTGGGTCCACGTACCATTATCTAAAAGATGCAATATATCTCGGATTAGTTCATCAAGTAGCAAATTGTTCATTTAAAATAATACTTATTCGGCAATTATTTACAAAAAGCTATTATATTCTGATTTTGATGACTTTTTAATATGACATTAGTTATTATTTTAAATAGTGTTGTGAAGATTTTATTTGGTGATTTTATTTGTTGTTAAATGTTTAAGTTAGGTTAAGTTAAAAATGTTTTTAACTTAACCTAACTTAAACCCAATATGTATAATAATTGAGTTATTTAAAATTTTATTATTATTCTATAATTTTTTGCAGTGAAATTATTTTCTTCAAGAATTCTAAAGAAAAATAGAGTTGTCAGAGCTAATTTCATAGTGCAAAGAATTAAAAAGAACTTCTATTATTAGTGTAAAAAAACTGAAGTATTCCAATCGAACGTTTCAGAACAGATCCTTCAGTTTGGTTTTATCTCGAATCTTAAAATGCCCACATGCATCACTATAAATTAAAGTAAAAGGATTTAGCTTCTCAGAGTTATTAAAAGTTTTCGATAAATAAAATAAATAACAGTATTGAAATTAGTGTAATTTTACAATCAAAATTTAATCTCATAAATAAAAGAATTATAATCACATAAAGTCTAATAATATTAAGAAAACGTACAATATGACCCATATGATTGGTACAGCAATAAAAGATAATTTATAAGTCATTAACATGATGTTTCCACTGATCTATCTAATGATTCATATAGAGTTCAGTGTCTCGTCGTTTGACCTCGCACTAAACGATACATCAATGATACTTTCATCAAGTTTAAATATTCTAATGTCTCTTGAAAAAATCTATCCAATCAAAACACTTTTAATGTTTGATAATGATATATTTAAAAGATTAAAAAGGTCTATCTGTGCATTTAACAGTTATTATTTATATACAACTTTATTCAGAACATTTGCAGATAAAAGATCATTCTATGGAGTGTCCCAGTAAGAAACTCAAAACTTTTTCAACATATAAATAGTGAATAAATGATTTTATATCAAAAATATGATATAAATTCATTTTTTAATTTATCTTTCTTTCTTTTTTTTTTGAAAAGTTACACAAAAAAATAACAAAAAATTGCATTTTCAAATCAAAATAAAAAAAATAATCGCTTATATAATTTAAACATCAAAGATAATTTTTAAAAGAATTGGAATATCTTAAGCATCTGAACAACGTTTGAGCATCTTTATATTTTGAAGTCTTTATAATAATTTTGCATTTCGTTTTCATTAATTTTTCTCACATATATAAATTGGATCGAAAGTAATTTCTCTCACTAATTTTCTAATCTAAAATAAAATAAGGTAAGAAGTGAAATTAATATAATTTCATAATCAAAATTTAAATAATAACTGATCATTTAGAATTATTTGAAAAATATTTTATTTTAATTCATTAAATAATTTTAATAATTTCATTAAGTGAACTTCATTTTACGTGAAATTATTTTATAACGATATCTCGTTTTATTGAATAAATCAAATTAATCAGATATAATATACTGTCATCATATAAAATTACAAAAAATATGATGTATATAATGACATGATTAACGAATTAGTGTATGAATATCATAATATGGATAATTTTCCAAGAATCTGAAGAATAAACATCATCTCAATAATTAGAAAGATGATGATAATAGTGATCGACAAAGAGACCACAAATTTGAATATGAATTATTCGAATTACACATATAGCTTAACATAACTTAACAACTTATCCATTGCTATTGATTTTGCGGATATCTAACACTCACGGTTTACATGAAAATGTAAATTTTCGATTATCGAATATATATTTTTTTCGATTATATATTAATATATAAATTATAAATTTTGATGGAAATTTAAATATTTGTAATTATTTTTTTATAATTTTTTAAATGAAAATTTTAAATAATATAAAAATTCTATGGATATTTTTTTTTTCTCAAGAATTTCGAAACATTTTTCAATATTATCTATAAATTTATAAAAATATACTATTTTTCAATCTTGATTTTTATAATAGTCAAGATTATCATTTCAATAATATTGAAGATTTCACTTGATGGTCGTTTATTAAAAAGTTATTAATAGAAATAGTTAGATTAGGTTAGGTTATTCAGATTTATTGCTAGACAATTGATGGCTGGTTGTTTTATAATGGAAAATTTGTTCCAAGCTAATGCAAACTATCAAGTCAGCTAATAATTGAATGAATTTTTTTCTTATTTAATTTTGATTTGAAATGAAATTAAATTTAGAACTAATATAAATTAATTGATATCATGCAAAAATTTATCTAATTTCTAGTTTTATAGTTTGGATTAGGTCAGATTAATAATTATATAATAAATTTTTAATAAAGAATGATTTAATTTTTAATTGTTTTTGTTAACATTATTCATTAAACTTGACAATTTATTATTGAAATCAGATACTTGTAAATATATTTCCAAGAAAAATGGAACAGAAAAAAAACAATTTTCTTTTCTCGAGTTCGACAAATTTCTCTCTCAAGAAATCAAAAACTTCTTCATTCTTTTCAATAAATTAACAGAGTTACAAACCATAAATTTAAATAAGTTAATAGTTATAATGAAATTAGCTACGATATTTTGTTCCTAAATATGCAATATTTTATATTTTTCATAATTTCAAAACGAAAAATCCATCGAATATATCAAAAAAATAATATTTTTAAAAGGTATTTCCTATAATATTCGATCAGTAAAAAATACATATTATTTATATGTTAGTATGTATTAGGTATATATATCTATTACATGTAGATCTTTATATATGTACCTTTGTTATCGGCAGCGATGAATCCGAGGATATTGTCGTGCCTGAGCATCACCGTCTGGTAAATTTCGGCCTCCCTGAACCAAGATCTTTCTTCGCGCGAGCTGAAGATTTTCACAGCAACATTCTCACCCCTCCAACGACCACGCCACACTTCACCGAACCGACCTTTTCCGATCGTCTCCACCAGCTGAATCTGGCGGGCTATGCTTCGCTGTACCAGAAGCGGCAGGCCTACTTAAGAGAGGATGGGCATTGAAGAATATGGATTTCAGTATGATTGAAGATGACACTTGTTCTCGCGATTTCTTACCAACAAATTTCGAACTTTCTACTTGATTATTGTTTTAACACATTCGAGACTGGTGGCGCAACATGTATGTCATAGGGATTTTCTATTCTGTGGTGATCGACATAGTACAGTTCCATTATAGGTATTTTCTATTCTATGGCGTACGATCATTATGAAGATTTCTTATTCTATGATGCATATGATCATAGAGATTCTTTTATTCTATAGTTACATACATATGATTGCGTTATAGATATTTTCTATTCTATGGCGAGTAACGTGAACATATATATTATGAAGATTTTATATTCTATATACATATATAGATATGTATTTAATACAAATATCGTCTTATAATATGTAATATTGTTTTGTATTTTTCATTATTTCACTATTTTTTCGAAAATCAATCAATCATTTTCAAATCAAAATCCTACGATTTTTTGATACAATCTCGAATGTATTAAAAATAAAAAGATAGCTTTTATACAAACTTTGGTAAAAATTATCATCATTTTTATTGTAATTGAGAATTATTTGAGATTTATCTATAAAATATTGAAATTTTTTATTTTCATTCGTTCGAGTATAAATTTTTTTTTTTAATTGGCTACAAAGTATATATATAAAACTTTAATTTGACCTACCTGAGCCACTACCACTGGTAGTCATTTCCAGCATACCCCTAATAGTAACACTGCCCAGGATAGGTCGATCCGGTGCCTCTTGCGAGTCATCGCTATTTCCGGGCCTTTCTGGGGTCTTGCGCACATGATAAATGACCATGACCACCACACAGATGGCGCATATCGGCATTGCTATCATCAAGGCCATTTTCCAAGTGACCCATGCCGCGTCATCCTCACCCGCCGCCACTTTTCCCAATAAATTTTTCGTTATCGTTTTATAATGATTGGTTTACGCAGAATAACCACTCCAGAGAAACATGGAACATTCGTTGTGCAAATTTTTTTTTTTTTTCTACAAACGGTTAACCTTTTCGTTATCAATCCTTTACGGACATATCCCAAAACGGTTAATTAAATTCAATTAAATTTGACTCTAATATATTCAGTCTCTAATAATACTTATTTCTCTTTATTCCTAATATTTGGATTTTTAATTCATAATTTAATAATCTAGTTTCACAAATTAGAAAATATTGAAAATAATACTCGTCAATATTTAATTTCAAATGCAAATCAACTCTTCGATTTTTTGACCGAGAAGACAAATATAAGAAACATTAACAGTTTCTTCCATATAATATTTTAAACGTAACAAGTTTCTCCAAGTGATTCGAAAAGCCAGCAAAGCGAGATTTTGGAATGAAAATCAAGCGATATACGTACGAAATGCGTCAAATTGACGACAAGAAGGACAAAGGATACACCATAGGCCATACATGTTCGAGCAACGTGCTAAAATGATATACGGCATGCTGGATACACCGAGAAGCGTGCAGTAAATGGTAAACAGTTTAAACCAACAGGCGCATGCAGGTTGCAGCAGTGAGGAGAGATCAGTAGGTCAGGAGCAGGGACAAACTCTTTTGCAATTCTTTATATAAATACTTCGATCGATACCTGATTTGGATCGAATCTTCTCGAATCTTTTCACATTCTCTCGATTTACATGAAGAAAGAGAGAGAGAGAGAGAGAGAGAGAGAGGAGGGAGGGAAGGAAGAAAAAGTGAGAGAATCAAAGAATTATCGTGAATATAAATATATATTTCGTTCTGTTTGTTGATTCTGCCTCCTTCCATCAAGTTTTCTGGCCAAAAATGAACCATGTATCGCATTACCTGTACATGCACAATACGATGACGCAATTCGTGCATGAGTCATCGTGTGGCTGCAGAACTTCTTTCACGATCCTCTCGATCTTGGCAGCTTCACTTACCTTTGCGGTCGATGGTGGGCATGAATTCCATCACGTAGGTTGCTGTTAATCGATTATTATTCCTCGAAAAACCACACAGGGTGTTATGATGTAAAGGGGGAGTTTGGATATTTTGTATACGATTCGAAAACAATTTGATATCTTCGAAATTGGTTTTACTTTTGAAGAAATGAGAGAAAATCACTTCAAAATTAAACTTTCGAATACAATCAATTTCGAAAATTTAATTTTTGGACGAAATTTAAATTTTCGAAGGCATTCATTGCTTTTGAAGCAAATCAATATTTGATCTAATTTTTGAATTTTCCGATTTTTCAAAACGATTTTTCGATCGTTTTCGAATCGAATCGAATTTCGATATAAATTTCAAAGATAATTAATTAAAATAAAAGAAAAATCACTCGTGATTATTTTTGAAAATTCGATTTTAAAATCGAATCTCGAAATCGAATCAAGATAACATCGAGTTGAATTTGCAACTCGATTTGGAGAATCACAGGATTACTATCATTTTCAATTTTTTTTTTTTTTTTTTTCTCTCTCGATACACAGCAGGGAAATTGGAAAGATCATGGGAACGAGCGGCTGGGCTGATGCCGCGGGAAACAAATATTCGTGGAATCGAATCGATCACAGAGCCGGCGACCGGCGAAAGAACCATCCATCTAGCAATTTCACGATAAGGCACCAAATTGATTCCCACGAGGTATTCGATGAGATGACGAATAACGGTGAGACAGAGGACGAGAATCACAGGTGAATGATTGCGCACGTCCGGATACCCGATGAAAATTGAACAACCTTATCTGGGATGTGCGCGCGCGCGCGCGTGTGTATGTGTATGCACGTGTCTATTATATATATATACCTTGATGACGTGTAATGTTAGTGTGTGAACTCTATCTTGATCATGCAGCTTTTTTTCATGTAGATTTTTCATAATTTTTTATAATTTTTAATCGTTTATATAAAGATGTTATATAAATTTATTTAAAAAATTGTAATTCTTTTGGGTGATTTTGTGAAGAATACATTTTTTTTCTGTTGTCGAAGTTCGTTCTAAGAATTTGAAATTTTTATTAATTATTTATAAAAAAATATTGTTCAATATTTCGATGTTTTTTGATATCTTGCCAAGATTTTTGTTATAATATTGTGAAGGTTTTACTTGGTAGTCGTTGTTTAGTAAAAAGTTATTAACAGAAATGCTTCTTCGAAAGTTGTTGTTTAGATTAGGTTAGGTTGCGTCGGATTAAGAAAACTAATTCAATCGATTGGTTAATAATTAATAAATAAATTTTTATTCAATTAATAAATTAATTTTTGATTCGAAGTGAAATTAAATTGAAAATTAATATAAATTAATTGATATCAAGTAAAAATTTATTGTATCTAGCTTGATATTTTGTTTGGTCTTATTTAATAATAATTTTTTTTAATCCGACTGTGAAATTGATATTAAATTTGAAATTATTTGCAATAATTGATTAAAACTAAAATTTAATAACCTAATTGTTTCGAAGAAATATTTTTTGTCAATAATTTTTTAATAAATAATTTAATCACCAAATTAAAATTTTCAATATTATTCAGAATGATAATCTTGATAACACATTAAAAAAATTATCAATTGAAAAATGAAAATTTTGTATCTATGCCATTATTATTACATACAATTTTTTTTAATATTATTAATGAAAGGATTTTGAAAATTAGACATATTTTATTTTTTAATTTATTGTATTTTATTTTATTCTAATCTTGATTCTGTTTCTAAAAAATTAAAATGATCAACACTACGTTCATTCTTTATTTAATCATTTAATAATTTCCATCTGTATACATATAATATATGTATAATACATGTAATATAAGACCACTGTTCCCTTATCATATTTCTAAATTAAATTTCTAAAACGCAATATGTATATTAAATATTCTTATATGTATATAACTATAATATGTATAAAACTGTAATATTTTACAGAACGAGAATATTAAAAAAAAAAAATACCTAGTTACTAACATCATTAACGAACGTATCGAAACAAATGTCGCAGTGAAAACTACGACATCAATAACTAGCTTAGATAGATTCACCCTCTCCGAATTTAGTGGAGGCTGATATAATCGATGGATACCGCTTTCGATACGTTCCATCATGCCTTCATCAATATTGCGCGAATACACTTCGTTACTCTGTACAATACATCGCGATGTCGTCCATTCTAGTCAACCTACCACCACCATTCCCTTTTACATCGCGTCCTACTCTGTTTGCTTTTCATATAATTATTACGCTCATACTACGAATGTTTGCCAATAACCGAATATCGAGTATAGTTCCTTTCTCGATTTATAACAATTATGCCAATCGTGAATTCTTGTCAAGTTGGAAATGAAGAGGTTAGCTTTTTCATTTTTATTTCTTTGAATGAGTCGATGAATTGATTGGAAGTGATAAGATAGTAAAATCTTTAAATGATGAGGTTAAACGAAGATTCGGAATTTAAATGCGTAATTTGTGTTTTATACGAATGATAATTTTGAAAACAAGAACGAACTGGATAGAACTCGAAACGGACGTGTGATTCGAGATATAAAATGCCGTATTAAAATATTTTTAGTTCATTTCTATTTGGAACAGACTGATAGAGATAAGTGCGAGACGATTCTCTTGTTCCGTTGATAACACGTTTTTACAACATCGTTTCCGTAATAAGAGTCCATACCCGATATATTTGACGTATCATTGTATCGCGACGAAACATATAGACATTCTGGTTTTACGTTCAATTGTATTCTTTTCTTTTTTCAATTTCTCATTGAACGATATTTCACGAGATGAAATGTCTCCATTCGACAAAAATCAATTCAAATAGTTTCTTTTTCAGGCCTTAGAATAATTGATATTTTTTTAATGTAATTAATAATCTAACCTCTATCTCCGACATGTAAAATTGCTCGAAACTCTTTAAATATATAACCATTGAATTTTTAACTCAATATTGCATTAAAAATAATGAAACTTAAAAATAAAAAAATAAAACTAGAAATAACAAGTGAAGATAAAATTATTTTCAGTAAAGATCACTCTTGCATTTCACGTTGAAGATGCTTTCTAATCCGTATTGAAAGCACTACAAATGCAACACTCATAGAAGAAAATTTTGTTCATGATTTAACGTACTCGAGACCAACGACGCCGTATAGGCGCCTTGTGATATCTAGTCAAAACACCTAGAGGCGCCACATGCGTGTCTTAAAAATAAATTGATTTCAGTCAATAAAAAAAAATTATTATATATCAGTCTACAGAAAAAAAATTATACAAAAGAAAAATAATAAAATAAATATTTAAAAATTAAGAAATAGATTTAAAGTAAAAAGCAAATAATACATAAATAAAAATTATTAGGAAATTTAAATATAATTTTTATTAATAACCTTTTATAATCAAAATTTGGCGTTAAAATTTTTTTGTTAGTCAACCACTGAGATATTAACAAATTGTATTCTAAGAAGTTCGAAATTTCAATCGTTTTATTATCGTTCGATGGATTCTGTTATTTTGAAAACCGTGTGAATTTGATATAAAAAAAAAACCCAGACGATTTTTTACGAAGTCGCATCTTCTGAAAACGATAGAGATATAAATGGATAAACAAAAACGATAGTGGGTGATTTTACGTAATACTTCTCAACGGAATATCTCGTAACCCAATAATTAGTGAAAATATGATTAGTAATATGTGTCACGGTTTTTTTTTTTCGTTATTTTTTATATTCATGTTCATTGGAATTTTCTTTTTAGATGTTTGTTCTTTTTTGTAGTTTAAAATATATTTATATTAAATTTTAAAAAATATATCAAATAGAAAGATTTAAAATTACTATTTTTATTTATTTTATTGATATAAATTATTTTCTAATTTCTTCAATATAAATTTCTTTATCTATGTAATAGATAACATATTTTGTTCTAAATCTATAATTGAATCACATGTAAATATTGTCAACGAATAATCGCGAAAAAATAGATATCTCGAACTTTATAGGAGATACGTTGAAGCGAATTCTGATTACCAAGTACAAGTGTATAAATTCGGCATTATCTTATCCACATACAGCTTACAAAAAGTATATTATCACCAAGCGAGAACTTTCCCATATTATAAAAAGATGCAAGATGATACAATCTACCAAGATTGTGTCATCATGAAATTACAGAATATTCACCACGACATCACGTTCTTTTTTGATAAGATTAAGAATATACGAATTGCTGACGAATCAGACGCTAATTTCGCACACCATCTTACGTCCAATATTTGAACTATTCACATCATAAAATACGAATAACTTCCAAATCCTATTTACAATTATTCAAGATAGATGTCGTCACTATATACATATTTTTATCGGCTCGTTATGTAATTCTTTTATAGTGAAAAAAGTGATTGTTTAATAATATATATCAAAATTGTCAAAATTTTATTAAGAAAAATTATATTGTGTAAAAATATATGTATAATATATTTTTGTTATAGTCTGTTTTTTTTTCTTGCTATAATAGAAATTTATTGTTTATCATTTATACGATTTTTCTTTTAATCTCAAATTTAAAATAGTTTATTCGAAATTCATTTTGTAATTCCATTCTAGAACATATTTCTATAAAAATTAATAGACAACATATTGTTGACGATGTTTTCTGTATTGACTATAGTAAAGGTATCTTGTGTGTTCTTAACCTATAACGCCTCGAATCTCAAGAGTTAACAAGAACGGTGAGGTATAAGTAAGAACATATATTGTTCAATTCGTTCGAGAATCAATTTCGATGTATCATTCACTTGATATTGAATATTAATTTGCGATATAATTTTAAGTGGCAAAACATGTTTATTACGTGAAGATTGTGTTAAACTGAAGATCAAACAATAATTGATAATTTATATTCCCACGTGTCACAAAGATAAATGATATCGTAAGCAGCTTTGATCTATGACAATTTGTTTTCTTAAACTTATGAAAAAATATTATAATTCTGTATAAAAATATTTTTTTCTAATTACATATATTCATGATTTCTGAACATGTTTGAAATTTAAAAATAATAAAAACGAAATGATCATTTTTTGATTATTTTTATTTAAAATTTTCGCAAAAATCATTAATACTGCAGAATCTTCTATCAGCCAATAATGTAATGTAAAAAAAAGATTAAGCTAAATCGCGAAATATTTTCGTAATACATTTACAAAGATAGATGTAAATTACCATAATATAAACAGAATGTTTTATAAAGTTATGTAATGGAACAGCGGTCTCTTTTACAATAGTGCAAAATATTGAATTTCACAAACGGTTCTTCGACAACAGAAACGTAGACGTTATAGCGAATCACGATGTTTCATGGTTGCTGCATTATGTCAGCTCGATAGTGAAGCATGAACAAAGACAACGTGTACAAAGGACTTATATGGGGGAAGATGGGAATATGTGTATGCGACAAGATGATCGCCCAGACAAATCACAAAAAGCATCGAAAATCGATAATCGAAAGCCCAAAATTTCATTTTTCTTTGTCTCTTTATTTATTTATTTTTTTTATTTTTATTCTATTTTTATCGAATGCAATTTTTTCCAAGATCGTCATTGCGAAGATTTCTTTTAGATTCGATTATACGATAAATATAAAAGAAAAATTTAATATTATTATTTTAAAACAATTTTTTATTTAACTTATTCATAAATATTTTTATATGACTTAATAATATAAGTATAATCGACATATGTTGATTCAATTTCTGATGAAAATTAATTTTATTAACTCGATAATTTTATAAATTTGTAACACATAGAAACAAAAATTGAATTAATCGTCCGATATTTTTATATTATTAAATATATATTCTTCAATTTTCGTTTATTGATTAATTTTAACATCTGCTTTATTTTATCGCTGAAAATTCAACCGTCTGTTAAATATTATTTGCTTTTCTTTTTCTCACGATTTCTTAATGCTCAATACCTATGTAAAAAATCTTGTGAATTATTCATCAAGAATATTTATTATTTAAATGAATTTCCTTATGGAATTACATACGAAGATTTTTGATGACTGACGTGAAACAAGTCAGCAAAATTCAATAAATACATCGAACCTTGAAAAAATCTCGCATTAATTCGATCGATCTTAGAAGGAAACGTAGCGGGCGGAAGCTATACCTCGTTCGAGGTAATCGACCAATCGGAAGTATGGCCCACCTCTGTACTCGTGAGGAGGAATAAAGGGCATTAAGTTGAGATTGCAGAAGTCGGAGTGATCGCAGCAGGCGATCATGGATACCATGTCACCTGGACCGTGTAGCGTGTTATTCGTTGTGCACCAGTACGAGTAATCGGGCGCCGGGAAGAAACGCACCTTATCGTAACACCTGAGAACAATTTACATGACTTCCGGACCAGAATATGCATTTATCCGTACCGCCGAGCTCAAAAAGAGGAAACCGTTTTTTTCCATGGTCTGTCTAATAAAAAAATTGTAAATTCAGAAATTATTTTTTTTTGTGACGGTATTTCGTTGTACGATTATTCGGATATATCACTTTGTTTCTATTGTGAGAACAATTAAGATTAAATTAAAAATCGGTGATTTTTTATTAGATTTTGCAAAAATTACATTATTTACTTTTTTCTATACATATAATCGCTGTTTAGTCGTCTTGATTTTGAAATATATTCGTCAGAAAATAAATAAAATATGCATTCTGGCTTTTTTTCCATTTTTCGTGCTATTATATGCGTTATAATTATTGAGAATAGTGACAAAGATCGACAATAGGTATATTGAGTGTATAGAATGATTTAATAGAACTAGCATAACCTTCCAATTAAATTATATTGTTTCTTTTGATTAAAGATCTACGTCAATGCTGTAAAGTCATCATTCTATTTCACTTTGTCTCGATATGTTCATTGTCGATCTTTGTTATTGTCCTCAGCCAATGATAATGCACATGATGGCAGGACTGGTGGAATAGAGCCATCTTCTGGCGAATATACTGTACTAAAAAAATATTTTCTATCCTATCGTATCGTATTTGTAAGTGTTCAAATGATAGAATAGTAAGTGTTCAATTTTAGAATAGATTTGTGATAGATTCGAAATACTTTTATATCTATATGTAGTTTTTTCTATTCGTCAGAAAAAAAGTAATGTCTTAAGATGAAAATTTAAAAACATAACCTGATTTTTTTTTAATCATACTTTTTGTATGTTGTAAATAAATTACAAAGAGAGGAAAATACAAATCGCAACTGTTTTATACTTTTTTAATTTCTTTCTCCGTTTTTCTTTTTCGGTATTCTTTCTCTTCGAGTTCGTTGGCTCAGTGATAAATTACTTCTATTACAAAAGTTATAAATTCGTAAGGGAATATAACAAGCAATCGAGATAAGTTCGAGAATTAATCATTAATAACTTGCGATCAAGTAATAATTCACGTGGTTCCTTTTTTTTTTTGTTTGCAAGTAATTTGATTATTATAAGAGACAGTATTATAATATCGTTAACCTCGAAACTCTACAAACACGTTATCCCGCTAATTTCTTTTTATAATTTCGAAGAGAGTTTTACGAAATTAATTTTTTTTTTCTTAATAGGATAATCTATTTTGAAATGTTTAAACAAATAAGCAAGATATAGGAATTTTTTCAAAAGATTAAGGTTAGATTAGATTAAATTATTAATTCAGAATTTTTTGACTTGATTATAGGTTATGTAATTTTAAGTATGATGAAAAAAATTTTCAAATGCTTCAAGATGGTATAATATATCTCATTGATTTTATTCATCATTATCATTGTTTATATGATTTTAAATTATGAATGATCGTAAATCTATTCTAAATAAACAATTGACTTACAAATTATTTCTATTTACGCAAAATTAGACGAATTAGAAATAAACATTCGATTCCATTGAAAATTTATAATTTGATTCTAAATTTGTCATTCGCAAAATTTTTTAACTTGATTTTTTTTTTTTTTCACGAACAACCGTGCAACAAGATACCGTTTTCAACGAAAAATATTTACACGTTCTTTAAAAAATAAAAAACGTTTAGATCGTTCGGTATGATAGACGTTAAGTTAAACAACAGTTTAAATAAATAACAGTTTCTTCTTCTTTTTTTTTTTTTTTTTTTTTTTTTTAGGTTTTGAGAAGAATTACACACAAGTTATGCAAATATATACAAAAATTTCTTAAGCTGCGAAAGAAAAGTTAAGATCAATCCTTCGTTAAAATCTTGTAAATAATGGAGAATTAATTGATAATTATTTTACCAAAGTTTATTATTTTTAGGATGCTTTCGCGTGATATATTCTGCATACAGACAATTCACGACAGCGAGGAAATGGGAAATTTATTAAAAGATTGAATTAAAAGAACGTGCAGAAAATGAAAATAATAATAGCTACATACTACGGTAAAGAAAAACGAAGCGTGGGTGCAAGATTTTATTTCACGTGTCGGATTTGTACGAATAATTGAAAAAAAAAAAAAAAAATTAAAAACAGGGTCAACTTTACCTCTGAATACTCATATTCAATATGACACAGATTAAAAAATCACTTTTCTAGTATTTTTAATAGCTATATAAAATCTTTCACTAATTTTAATATGAAAAATACGCAGTTTATAAAATTACATTTCTCTTTATTATTGATTATAATTTATCAACTATAAAAAAAAAATTTAACGTTCCAACGAAAAAAAAAAATTTGAGTATCAAAGGGTTAAAGAGACCACTGTTCAACGCTCGTAATAGAATAATGTAATTATCGTGCAATTAAGCGTTACTCGTTTAAGCGAGTCAACACAATGTCGAAGCTTCAATTGCCTTTTCAAGGTATCGAACGATATTTAAACACACTAAGAATATACAGAATTACTGTTATCAATAATATATTTAAGTAGTAAAAAAAATTTATCAACTAGAAAAAATACTCTTAATACTTAGATTTTATATCGTCTCACACCGACCCTTCGAAATTTAAAATTATTACAAAGGAACAGATTAACGTGTATAATCTAATAATAGATTTTACATACAGGAGGATAAAATCAAAAGGAAAACTGAGAAAGGCATACGGGACGAATCTAAAACTTGTGTACTTCATTTTCTAAGAGAAACTGAAGAGAAATATTTACAAAAGATGTCCTTATCGCAAGGACCTGCGTTTATCAGTATCACTACAATGTCTACTTTCGTTAGAGAGTGCAGAGAGATATATGTATACATGACAACAACATGCTACCGGTGCTTTCCAAGTTCATTCGGGAGGACTTCCGGCCCCCCCCGAACACTTGTAAGCGAAAATATACAGGAGGAGAGTACCTTGAAGTAACTAGAATCTCCATAGGTGGCAAATATTTTCATACTGTCTTTTATATCTTTGAAAAAAATTTGTTCCATCATTTGTTACGTTATTATTTATTCGAAATATAAAAAAAAAAGAATTTTCAATTATACATTTTCATTATTTTTATTAATTAAAATGTTACTTTTAATTGATAATTATTGATCAAATATTAATAAATGAAATAAAAAAAAATATTATTATATTTTTTAAATATAAGCTATGCTGCAATTAAAAAAAAAAATGGATGGGAGAGAAATGAAAAGAGAGGAAATAGAAGGAAATGTACCTAAATAAAATTCATTTGAAAATCTTTTATGTTAACTTCTTAAGCTGATAATTATATTGATAAAAATATATCATATGATGTTATTAATTTAAATATGAAACGACAGTGTTTCGTTATTTTACAAGGAAATTCATTCAATTCGAAAATTTTGATTTTAATAAAAGTTTGTATATATGTAAAATGTAATAAATTCCATATCAAGCAATTTATTTATTGACGTAAAATTTTTTTAAAACAGTGAAATCAACTCTTAAAGTTTTAACATCTTTTCATTCTTTGAATATAATTTTGCTTAATTAGATTACGAAGTTATATTTAAAAAAACAAAAAAATACTTTAAAATTTTGAACGTTGATTTCACCTTCTTAAAGCGATATATTCATTTAAAAAAAAATTCCTCATATATATATACATTATATCTTATGTATTAATAAAATTTTATATAAAATAAAAAATTATTTATTAAAAAATTAAAAAATATTCAAATACTTTCATAAATAACTAAATATGAATATTTTTCTTATTAAGCAAGTATACACGTGTACTTTAAATCGGCTGGAGAAGCTAACATACGTATCAAATAAGTACACGTTCATCGTTATCAAATAAAAATCCACGAGAAACAGCGAACAGCTTAAGAACAGGTTAAGTGTTGCGCTTCCGGCCGTTCAAACGGAAGTGAACGCATTGCGCGAATGTGGATGCGCGAGGAACGAGAAGGAAAAGTGGCCGTGATGTAGCATCGCACTGCAAAAGGGAGGTACGAGGTGACACGGTCCGGTATACTATATCGTGCTTTATCGGCCGTAACACAGAGCGAACTGGAATGAGAAAGAGAAACGCGAATTCGAGTGTAAGTAGTGCGTTATACGCAACCGTGGCGCTCTCTACTCATAGAATGTACACGCCACGTACGTAATATATGTAACATATTCGAGCTAAATGTATAATTACGAGTAATTTACAAGTAACGAAAATATTCAGTGAAAAAATTAAATTCGAATGTTACGATAATTTACATTCTATATCTAAATAAAATATGTAGCAAGAATATATTGAAATAATATTGGATTTAATATTTTATATATTTGAGGAAGAAATAAGCTTCTAACGAATTATTTTAAGTTATATATCGATATCAATATCATGTGAAATTTATTTGATTAATGTATAAATATTGTATCATAGTTAACTAAAAAGTGTTCATAAATTGTCGAATATGATAAATTTTCTAACTTGATTATTCATACATATATGTGAATTTATAACAGTTATAAAATTCGCTATAAGAATTTGTTGCATCCAGAAATTATTAAAAGATAAAGAAGTAAGTTTAAATAAATATCAAATATTTTCGTCACTCATAGTACATGGATATCTAAAGATATATAATTGAACTGAACGCGATGGAAAAAGAGTAACGGCCATTATCAGCAAATTAATGGTAATGTGTGCATGAGAGAGAGACATAAATGTATACATAGCGTATATTGGCAAGCGTATATATCGATATAAAAACTATGCATACAGAGTATTTCATTTTCAGATGTAGTCTGAAAAAAAGGATCGAATAATTTAATATCATATAGCAGTTATCAAAATAAAGGTAGATATCTTATTGATATAGCTCTCTATCTTTACAAATTGATCTTAAAATACGATAAAATAATCAAAACAAAATACATAGAAGAAGAATATTTTTCATAAAAAAAAAAATCATCCATTCATTTTATAAACTTATATTTATAAAATATAAGTTTGCAGTCAAATATTTTTTTTTTTTTTAATAACTACGTCTTTCTAAATTATCCGATTATTTTTCAGATTACTCTGTACACACGTAAATACACGTACAACGAAATAATATATGGCGGTTATATCGTTAACGTTCATTCTTGCTATTACTGCATATAATACTATAATATCCACAATGATGAAGAGAGTGAAAGAGATTGACTAGGCACGAGCTATGATGCGATCTAAATGTGCTCTGAGCGTTTTCTGTGCGTATAATTGCGTGTGGAGGGATTGAATAGGATATGGATGGATAATAATTACATAAAGAAGTAGAAGCATGGAAAAACGAGTGGATGAATCAACAGCATGAAAATTCAATTGGGTACTTTAATTAACAAGATGCTCTCCGACATTATTATACAACATACATATATATATATAATATAATACATATTTATACATACATATATATATAATATATTAAAAATCAGTATCATCTGCAGGTAAAACTAAGGAAAATTAGCGGGCAGAAAGAGAAGTGGTGAATGTAGCTGCGATAAAGGAAGATAGAAGAGATTTGAGAGAAAGACATAAGAAAATATACATACATATATACATATATATATATATACTATATATATACATATATATAGAGCTGCAGCAAAAGCCTGAGCCACCTGCAGAGTTTTTCCGCTACTTCCAGGTAACCAGTTTCACTGTACCTTTGTTGCGAGGGTGGAGCTGGGGTTTCAGATCCCGATTGCAAAAATCCTCTTTGCAGCACTCGATGACAAAGGTCGTGTTTCGCGAGTCGCTCGTCATGCAGAAGATGAGCGGCTCGGGCTGCGACGACGACAGCTGTTTATTCACGCACCTTCAAGCCGAGTTTGCACCATTTTCAGAATACAAAAAAACAAAAGGAGAGAGAGAGAGAAAGAGAGAGAAAGAGAGAAAAAGAAAGAGAGAGAGAAAAAGAGACAAACCAACGTGTAACCTCGTTGGAGGGGGGGATGGATAGTTCGTGCTTTTTGGATCGCGTTTTCGGGACACTCGAGGTTACTCCGTGAGAGAATATCAATGGCGGCGTTGGAATACACGCGTATATTGGATGGTTCAAAATTGCACGAGGTTGGAGATATTCTGTGACTTTAAATTCGAACGAAAATTAAAAAAAAAAAAAAAAAAAAAAAAAAAGAAATTACAATTCGTTTTCGATCGTATCAATTTTTGAAAATTTTTTTTTAATGCAAATATAAATGTAGAATATATTTCCCCTTAAAAATTAACTTTCGAAAGAATCGAATTTGAAAATTAATCGATTTCTGTATAATTATTCAATTATTTAAAATTTTATTGAATATCTTTTATTTATTTTTATGTGTGGAATAATCACTTATTAATAGTTTATTTATTCATCTAATTAAGAATTTTATTTGTATTTGAAAAATGGTCAAACTTGATTATACTGGAATATGAAAAAATTTTATTCTATATTTTCGTTTTATTTTGAATAAGAATCTTTCCGACTTCATTTGTTTACTACTTTTGAATTATGAATCCTGTTAATTTTAAAAATTCGTGATTGTCGTATTTAATTTAACGATAGAACGATGAAATATACAACACTTAATTATGTTTTTCGTTCGATTTTCTGATAATAAAATAACGAATGTTTGACTTCTTCTATTTTTATTCCAGTTAACGTGCTTCGTGGCCTTCTTTTCTTAAATTAAACACAGGCTGAAAAATTAAAGGGTAACAAAAAGAGAGAAACAAGGATTCAAGAAATATTCGTAATAATTCTTTTACTCGATTTGATAAACGAAGATTTAAAGATTGCATAACAATGAAGTCATGGAACATTCAACAACGATGAAATCATTATCTATAAATATCTATCCCCGTTTGGGAACATAACGAAAGAAGCAACATCCATTCAAGAGGAGAGAAAACGCGTCGAAAAAATTATTTATAAACATCGACAATTAAAAATATTACGTTACGCAATTCGTTCAAATGTACAAAAAATAATTCGTATGCAAAAAACAATTAAAAATTAAAAAATTTATTACCTTGTTTCTTTTTAATTTAACACTAGAACTATTATCATATGATGTCATAATGAAAATAAATATAACATACATAATTACATTTCCATCTCATAAATTTCATTACAATATTAATTTTATTAAGAATATTTTCATATGTTCGATAATTCTAAAAACAAAAAAAAAAAAAAAATGAAATCCATTTCATTATTCTAATGTTAATATTTTTAAAAAGAAAAATAGTAAGAACAAAAAAAAGATTTTATCATAAAATTATAGCATCGTTCCCTCGATATTCAAGAAAAAAAGATAATAAAAAAAAGAACGAAGAACGATACGGCCGCATCATAAACTTCATCGTTCCACCGCAATTATGCTCGTATCCTTCACACTCGATCGAGACTCGATCATTCCGTGGTAACGTGACCGTCTCATATATCCTCGAATCTTCGCAGAACGAACAAACAACCGGGCGTGCATAAAAAAAAACCGCTTTCAATGGTAAATACACACCTGTGCATGGCCGCCGTCCACGATACCACGGAATTGGCTACGAACGAAAGAACACGTGTATTTTCGTGAAAATTTTCATCGATTATTTCGCGCCGCGATTAAAACAGATGGATGCTGAACACGTAGAACAACACGGGCTCGCTAAACAAAAAACTTCAGCAAACTTCAGCATAAGAAAGAAATAAAGAAATAAAGAGAGAGAGAAAGAGAGAGAGAGAGGGGGGAAAAAAAATAAAATTAAAAAAAAAAAGAAAAAAATTCAAAACAGTGTGAACGGTGGAAAGTTGTTAAAAAATTGAAAAAAAGGGAGGAGAAAAGGGGAAAACAATTGTCGAACACCGTGCAACTCAACACTCGTTTGAGATACCTGACATGTGGGGGTAGCCAGTTGTAGTTGGATCCTAGTCGTTCCTGAAATCCCATTATTTCTCTCGCGATGTCGTCGAGCGTAAAGGAAGAAAACAATAAAAAAAGAAAAGAAAAAACAAAAAAAAAGGAGAATAAAGAAAAACATGTAATTAAAAATTCGGTATAAAAATGTGCGCTACGTTCTTTGCTTATCTTTTTAACCGCACTTGGCAGAGCGTTTGATTTGCTCATTCGTTAATTGATTTAATAAGAATGGCGGGGGCCATGTCGAAAAGGGGATCCAATCGAAAGTTAAAATCTGAATTGCTAAAAAAGCAGGCACAAAACGAAACTCTCTTGAACACACCAAAATGAGAATGAAAAATAAAACAAAAAAAAATCTAGTAGAAAAAAAAATGGAGGCAGTTAAGAGGCAAACGATTTTCATTATCATCATCATCATCATCATCATCATCATCATCATCATCATCACAGATGCGGTGAGATGTTTGTTAGTCAAGGTTGTTCAAATATGAAGATTCTACAAAATAAATTTAAATTTTCATAGAGAAAAAAATAAAAGTAAAATATGAAATTTAGTGGAGACGAAAATTGGGAAAGAAGTACTAGTGTCGAAGGATCGGGATTCGTTGCGGAACGAACCTCAAGGTAATCCACAACGAGCGGTAATTCGAACGCGCACGCGAGCGCGTGAAATCGCAGATGATCGTATCTGTTTGTTTTATGTTTAGCTAAACTTGTCTAAATATTTAATATATTTTTTAATGAAAAATTTTTAAAAACACAATATCTATTTCGTTATATTTATGATATTTTTGTAGATTTATTGAAATAATGAGAAATAATTTTTTAATTATAATTTATTGAAATTTAAGTTATTATTAAATTATAGTATATACAAATAAAAATAATAATTTTGAAAGAGATTAAGTCATATAAAATATTTCTTCCATTCGACTTCATGTTTTTCGAAATATGAAACATATTGTTTTTTTTGTCGCGAGTCCATTCTTGGAACTCGATATATCCTCTTGAATTTAGCGCCAAGGGATCTGTATTCGATCGATAATAGATTACACGCGATACGTGTTACAACGTATGGACGTGATATGTACTATGAAAAATCGTCATGTAAAAATTAGAAAAAAAAAAGTAAGAGAAAACGGGACAAGAGGATAAATAAAAATAATTTTCAATAAATTATAATTTTATATGGGAAAAATAAAAAAAATTGATTTTTAATTCATTTCTCTAATGAATATGGATGCTCATAATAACCATGGCAATAAATTAAATGATTTTACTGATGTAGTTTATTAATATTGTACTTAATGTTCCATTAATATTATTTCATAAAATAAAATATAATATTTTTTTCATATATATTTATGAATTCATTCATTTATGTTATAAATATAAATATAATAATTATTTAAGAAAAAAAGAAAAATAATAAAGTAAATAAATAATAGATGGTGGCAATTGAAGCATCCAAGATCATGAGAGGAACAAACTCGTTATTAGGCAACATTACGATTTCACTTTTCCCTACTTTTAGATTCACGTAATACATCCTTATGTGCAGTTTACTTTTCATAATATATAGTTTCGCACCTGCCTAACCTATTGAACGCACATACACGAGCCAGCCACAGATGGAAGTATGAGAAAATTTTACGTCACCGTCCAAACATCGATCTCCTCTCCTCTTCGAACAGTTTCTTTTTAAAATGACTTCGTGGATATTTTTAAGAATCGACGCGAAAAGTCTCATTCGCAGTTGATTTAACTCGAAGGCTATATAAAAACGGATGTAGTTTCCAACGAAAGTTGATTGGTAGATGACTGTATACGATATACGACCAATAGAAGTCGGTTATACGATCGCAAATCTGCCTGCCTATTGGACCACGAGCTATCCCCACTATTTGCTAGTCTTAGCCCTCTATATTATTGAACATTGCTTTTCCGTTGAAAGTTCGTTTTTTCAAACTATCGTAAAATATTAGTAGTTCATCTGATACGGATCACGTTAAAAAATCGCATTAAGCTGTATAAAATTTGATTCACGATAGAAGAAATAGTCATGTTAATCCGCATATTATATGTACGATTCATGCTATCTGAACGTTAACAAATGTAAAATATGAAGCACGAAAGCTTCGAAGAGATTCAAGTGGTTCTGAAGAGGAAGAGGAATCGGTTCAACGATATTTTTGCGCGGTGAAATTTTAATCCGGCCCAGACCCCGTGGCTAGTTGAACATGTAAGGGAATATATTCGCGAATTAGAAGAGGCAGACTGCCAAATACAGGATAGATAAAGAGGGAGAAAAGAAAGAGGAGCTACAGGAGAAGTGGAAGGGGAAGAGAAGAAGAGAGGGAGAAGAAACACGGGCAGTACGATATGCGGTACTACGACCGCAAAGAATGCAGTTAATGATCTCGTTAGGAAGTTCGTTATTGCGCCTGTTTTCATGGTTAGCTATAAGAAGAAGGAACGTGCTCATCGGAGCGTAGGCAATCATATGTAGACAAATGGTCGAATGGAAAAATATTTCCATGAAAACGATTCTCACTCGTGATAATAGAAAAAGAGAGAGAAAAGAGATAATAAAGAGCTTTGTAATTTCGAATAGAAGAGTTCGTGCGCGCTCGTGATCGAAGAGTGGGGGAAGAATCGATTAAAACCGCAAATTATGGTGAAAGTTATAAGCGGTAAAACAATCCACGATGAAATCGAAACTGTACTAACTAAATTAAAAGAATTCTGCTCTTTTTCCTCGATTTCAAAATTTTATTTTATTTTCAAAAATGTTTATTAAAATGTTTTAAACATTTTTTTCATACGTTCGGTAATTTTTTGAAAATTCTTGGATATTATGCGAAGAATATTCTACTTTATTAGTTATTACACTTAGTATTATAGTAGATATACGAGAACAATGATACTTGAAAATAATACTCATTAAGCTGCTATTGATAACGAGTAGATTAGTTAGGAGTATTAAAGAACATACGTAATGTAGCAGAAAATTATGCTTAGATTAAACTTTCTTCGAATCGTGCGAAATTGGATCGGTTAGAATATAATAGTAACAAAATATTAATTCTATTACATTATAATAAACAATGAATCGTACACAATACAACAATAAACCATTCCTGCTATCCCATAGAAAATGAGCAGAATTCTTATTCCAATTCAGTTGAACAATAATTCGATAATTACACTAAAGCGCTTAAAAAATAAAAGGTTCATTTCTTTTGAAACCGGCAACCGATACGATAATACGCGTTTACACGTATTTCGATCTATTCGTTCGAAATATCACGTGTTGAAATATCATGGCAAATATTGACATGATTTTCGATAACAATCTTTTTTTACATCAATCGTTGTAAAAGAATTGCGATTAAATTGCAAAATATTTTCCCTAACTGATAAACCACACCCGAAACGAACATTACGCGAATCATTTTACAATTTCGTCCGGCATCGATTTATAAAACTCGCGCGGCACGCCAAATCTGCGCATGCGTTCTATCGAGAACGTGTATGTTGCGGATTAATATGTGCTCACGCTTTTATAGCAGGACACGTTATTTTCACGCTTCTATTTGCGTTTTTATTATTATTATGGGATTCAATAAGTCGAATATGTTAACAAAAAACAAGAAAAGAAACAAAGAAAAAGAGAAAGGAAAAACTATTAATGTATTAGGTTGATAGGAAGTAAATGAATAGTATTATTTCGTTGTGAATTTATTTTATTCTTTTTCTTTAATTTCATCTAATTAAATAATCGATCAATTATTTATTTATTTTTTTTTAAATTCTTTAAAAGATTTTATTAATATAATAATATTTCTTCCGCTATAAATAATTTTTTGATTGTTCAAATATAAAATGTAATGAAAAATGAATTATTATATAATATAATAAATTCAATAAATAGATATATTTGAATCGAATTATCTTTTTCAGCATCGAGTGATTATGAATTTATTTATATTATTAAACGTTACGTATGAAAATCCAATATTTCTTATAATATAAAAATGATTAAAATCGATTTTTTATTGTAAATTTTACCATCCATCTTTTATTTCCTACTAACCTAAAAAAAAGAAAAAAAAAAAATATCAAAGATGAAAAAGAAAAGCACGAAAGATTAGAACGAATGGAAAAAAAAAAGGAGAAAAGTAAAACGAAAAACACGTAGGTGGTAGGGTATGTTTTGCTGTTTGCAAAACAGCGAAAAGAATACCTGAGGATAATTCAGGCGAGTTGGGAGATAGTAACTCCAGAGTTATATTCTTGTTGCAGTACTCTTTATCACAGCAGATGCTGGACCGATAGATACCCCGCTTTCTGTTGCAGGACTGCGGTTCTTCCGGTGGGAACCATTGCTTTCGGTCGAGGCACCTTTCACAACATCACAATGCCACGTTTAATTTCAACAGTTCGTTCTCCACCGTGTACCAAACGCGCAATTTTACTGCTTTCCCTCTTTTCAACCGACTAATCTTTTCAGATGCTTCGCACGCAAGCAAATTTCTCTGTTATTTCGGCGTATTTCACGCATTCGTTGAACCGACACAGTTGCCATATCATTCGGATAATTGATATTGAAAATAATTTAACATCGAGAATATTTCATTATTTCGAGTGATATGTTTTTTCCTTTTTTTTGGATGAATATAGAATGGCTATACGAAAAGTATTTGCACACCATTATGTATCTTTTATTAGCGAAGAATATAACGACGATAAGTGTCAATCGATCTTGGAAAAGAAAAATGAAGCGTGTAAAATTTGATGCGGATTAATCATGTCACTTAATCGGTCGATATAGCAGGAAATTGTCTCGTGCCGCTTTCATGTCTCGACCAATCAAATAATCTCGGTCGTGCTATTTTCGATACGATCTCCGGCTGAATTATCCGAATTATCCGTCTGGCGCATTAAACATTTAGGCCCCGTCCGCACGTCTGCGACCTCAGACTATCGTAGATCGTCTCGGTCGATTTCGTTTGATTTCGAAACTGCGTATCGTATCGCATTCTTTATATATCTCATATACATCATCATCGTTAAATTGCCATATTGGCAATAATAGGAAAATTAATAATATCAATAAATATCGTATCATAAATATATTCCATTCGATTTGAAGATTTTGTTAACATGTTCAAATATTATTTCATTCTTTGTATTATCCGAATCATAATAAAGAAGTTTTACGTTCCTATCAGACGGCTCAGATCCTCGTCGATAATAAAGAAAATTTCTTCGTCTACGGAGTCACAGACCAATACCGATTCAACAATTTTTCCATACCAACGAGAACCTTTGAATTCTCTATTGAATAGAGGACCTTTCTTGTTTACCATGAAGGAAACGGAATCGATTAACGAAGTTTTGCCAGAAAGAACAAGAAAAAATCCAATACGACTGAGAAATAATAATGATCTAAATTATCTTTAAAATAAAATGCACAATAGATATTCTGTCAATAGTCTACTAGAATTTTATCGATAAATATAATACATGGCTACCCCCACGCCCTTAAATCAAGAATAAAGAATGAACTGAAAAGAAAAAAAAAAAAGATCAAGTGGAATATAGATACACAGGTAGTGGTATTCACGAAACTTCTCGAAATTTCTGTTTAGTTTGTAACGAAGAATGGACACAAGAATAGGCACGTTGAAGCGTTACCAACGCGACCACCGGCCGACAACAATAATTCGTTTCCGTCGAAACTGCCGAAACATGCGCTAATCATGCCCAGTAGGGCCAACTGAAAAAAGCGGCTAAACGTTCCTGGAAACTACAACGAGGGGATCGATCGGTAACCGAGTGGAATCGGACCGTTGAACTTCTTTTCGCGATGCAAAGGAAATCAGAATTGTTTGAGTATCCGAAATAATATATTTGGCCAACAACGAGCCGATTTTTTTTTGTTACCGAGTATTTTGATATTTTTAATTTTCTAAAATTGTTTTAAAAATATTCAATTGAAAAATACTCGATTAAAAATTGGTTTCTCGACCAATTTTGAATATTTAAATTTTCCAATTTCTAATATTCGAATTTTGCATATTTAAATGTTCAATTATTTAATATCGAGTATCGAAATGGCTTAAAATTTGAAAATTGATTAAAAAAAAAAGAAATGATCGAAACTTTTTAAAACTATTTTATTTCATTTTTTTTTTTCACACATTCGGACAATTTCTAATTCAAAAATTTTTTACCACGAATCCGTCGATTACACGATATTCAATAAAAACTCGAAGGTAATTTAAAACCGGTAATTATGTAAGAACGATAATCGTTATCTCGCATATTTTCATACGGTTTTACGCGATACGTTTCACGGAGGATACGCGATAACAAGAAATAACACCGTTTCCATACCGTCGATCGCTCGTTTTATTGCTACGCTCATGATTTATCCCCCCTCCTTCCCTATAACGTCCAATTAACGTTGAAATTAAGTTCGGACATCATTTTTGCCGTATATATACTCGAGCCGCGTTACGTCTGCTACATCAACGCGATAATCACAGACATTATATTGTATTCCATTTCAGATAACGAATCTTATTTTATTTCTATAAAATTAATTATCGTTCGATGAACATTTATCATATTATTCGTAATATTATGATTATCTATTGATGATATTTATTCGACGAATATATTCCATTTCAGAAATAGAAATTTAATATATTAATCGAATATACGTTTTCCTGTTATAAACATATACACGGGTAAATATACAAACAATGATATATCCGTAATTAAAAGTGGATACAAATTCATGGACGTGATAAATATTTGGGAAATATCGTACTAAATTATATATATATAGAATAATAAATTGTATTGATATTAAATTAAACCCGTATTCAAATTAGGAAGGATAAATATTATTTTCGTAATATTTATTGCTTATATAACGATCTGTTTCCGATGTATAAATTACGAATATCATTGTCTCTCGAATATTTTCATACAAATGATAATTCAAACGTTCCGCGCTACACTTCACGCGGAACAAATCGGTCTAATCGATTCATAAATATCGATATGTTAAAAGAACCGGTTCTAAATCACCGAGTTGGTGAAACTCGAATGAGAACTGAGTGCTAAATAAGAAATTTGATCGGTTGGAAAACAATGAATCAAGAGAATAATATATATTTTTGTGGTGAATAATTATTTTGTTGACTAAAAATATTCATGCGAATACATTACCTCTTAGCGTATGTGGTCACATCGTTCTCCAAGCTGGTACTGGCGAAACAATAGCCATCAGTTTCGCACGTGTGATTGGTCTCCGTGCAAATATCGCAGTAACACTTCAGTCCTGAAAGATAGATAAGTAAAAAAATAAAAAATTCTATCAAGGATAACGAGAATATCGAGTATCATCGAATGTGTAGATATAGGAGTATACTTGAGTATACTTCATTTTTTTATTTGTGCAATAACTGGACGAGATAAGAATAAATGCGACTTCCTTTTTTTTATATTATTAAAATTCAATCTTTTTTAATTATCGTATAAAAAGCTAAAAATTATATTAATAAAATATTTTTATTATAATATTATTATATTATTATTAATAAAATAAGTCGCGATTCATAAGTTGGGAATTCATTGATCTGTTAAAAATTTATTCTTATTTTTTTTTTTTTGTTCTTTACAATTTATATAAGAATGACTTAAAAAAGTCATGCATGTAAAACGAAGAAAGAATTTGAAAAATTTCAAATATATTCAAAAATCTATATTATAAACAATTACCGTGGAATACATGACAAATTAATCCTATTATAATTAATTATAAAGTTTGAACAATTGAAAAAAAAAAAATAAATATATTCCTTGTAAAATATTAATTCGGCAGGAAACCACCAAGAATCGAATATGTTTACGCAACTATTTAAATGGATCGGGTTAATAATCGTATACAAAGTTGTGAAGCAATACGATTATACTAATAAGTTAGGCAAAAAAAGAATCGCCTTGAGTGCAATGCAATTATGAAGAAAAATGATGGCAACATTATTTCTTTCGGTAATTTATCACGCGCTTGATGACGCACACCATTTCGATCGCACTATATTTTTTTCCACTCGAATCTGGCCAGGTGTATACCGAGATAATAGCACATCAAGAACCTCGATAACACCCGTATTAAAGTTCTTTGGTTAGAAATTTTGCGTTGTTCGATTTTAATAAAATTCACTTCAAAACAAAAAATAAAATAAAAATAAAAAAACTAAAAAAATTCAATTAATGCAAAACAACAAAATCAATTTCCGAACATTTTTCTATATATATATAACCATTTATAATTCGATCATTCGAAATATTCGCAAAAATTTCTGCCTCATATGGATCATATTTATAACTATTTAAGCGAAAATCTAATTTATAAAGAAAGATTAAAAAAAAAAGGAAAAAAAAAAATATGGATTCGAGGAAATAATTTGGTAATATTTCTCCATGCTATGTAAGCAGAACACATGGTTTCGGAGAGGTGGTACAACTTGACGAAACGAGTTTAATTCAAGTCATTAGCGCACGCCCACATCGAATGGTCTGTTGCGGGCCGAGCCCACCTCTTTCGCCGCGTGAATACGCAGACACTGAGGGGCCACGAAACTCGAGGAAATATACCTGTGTATGGAATTCGTCGAGCCCAATAAAGCGTTTTTTGCGCGCCCACGAGATCCGCTACGGGGCCCTTCCTGTGGCCAGAAAGATTCGTACCAAACGAGCTCTGTGTAAATTCGAAAGAGATCCGTTCTTGGTATAGCATGGTCTACTCCGTGGATTTTTAATCCTTTCATCGAAGCTATGAAAGGTAAGAGAAAGAGAGAGAACTTGTTGGTCATGTTTCTTTGTGCATGTGGGAAAAATTTAGCTAGACTTTGTTCCGAAAAAATTGTATAGGTATATTGTCTGTAACGATTGATGATGAATTGAAAATTCACAAGTTTTTCTGTGTTCAAAAAAAAAATTTTTAATTTAATTATAAAAAATAATTTTAAAAACAATGATTCGAAAGTGAAAAAATTCTTTGATGTAATTTTATTATACAAGAAAATCATGATATTATATAAATGAAGCTTCAAAGAAAAATAAACAATTTGTTGTAATACAAAAATATTTACATTCATATATACAAATAAATTCTTGACGCACTTCTTTTCTTTTATATTTGCTGTTCTCAGCAAAAATAATTGAAAATATATCTTTTTTTCTTTGATCAAAAAAATGTATTGTATCTTTCTATCTTTACCGGCTATCATAGGTCAAAGTGTTTAAAACAGATCAGAAACTTTTTTACTTCATCATATATACATATTTATATTTATAATCTTATTAATAAATACGTCAATACTTTCATTCCAATACCATAGTTCTATCTTTGAAATAAGTTTTCAAAAAGAGAATTCTAACCTCATTGTCATTTAATTTTCCACAATTCAATTTCTCCATTCGATAGTTCAAAGATTAAAATAATACTGTTTTACATATACGATATTATTCATGTATATGCATATACATAGACCGAATACAGATCAAAGTAAGGCAAATATTACGAGAAACTTTCATCGCGAACTGCTTTTGTGAGAAGAGAATGACTATTCTGCGCAAACTCACCGCACCGAGAACAACTATAATCGAGTTAAACGGCAAACGGGTAACAAAACATCAACGAAACGAGAATTCCACCCGTACGTGGTGATATTAAATGCGAGTATTTAACGCCGTTCTGCATAATTTCACATCGCATCGAGCATCCATGCACAAGAGACCCCTATCTAAATGGCATACATATTCCACTTTAGCATGTAGATACATTATTTTGAGGTTATATTCATTATTCTTTTGCGAAAAAATTAATTATGTTTAAACAAAATCGTCACATATTTATTATGATATTTAATTAATTAAATCTAAACATATTAAATTTCTCACCATTTAATATCTCTAATATTTGATGACAAAATTTTGTTATCGTGAAAATGAAATGCAGAATTAGAAAAAATACTTGAATATACTTGAAATAAAGTTATATACAAATATATTTTTTTCATATTATTATATTATTTCACATTTCAACGACACATTTTAATCTTTTATTAATTTAAAAACTATAAAAACTATGATAAAAATATTTACTTATGATAATCATCTACACTACGAAACTTTCAAGACTGCCATCTAGTGACACGCGTGATTGTAGGTTAGACATTATGGAAGACAAGGTGGCCAAACTAACTAGACACGGATCGACCGATCCCTTCGCGATATTCCCTATCAATTACCTTTCGGAGATTATCGCTGGAGGAATTGTTGGCCAAGCTGTAACGAGACCCGTTTGCCGTGTAATTTATTCGATAGCGGAGATTCGTGATTGGTCGTGCGGCCATCGCGCGATTTGTATTTAGATCTAATTTGCGATTCAACAGTATGGCCACGTAGAGGACTGATCTCGAATTCTGCATTCATGAGACCGGATACATGAGTGAATATCTGCTACAGTATAGAGGACGCTACGTACTTACTTTGACGTATTTTTGGCATATTGTTGAAGCCAACAATGGAAAACAGAAAAAAATTATCGAGAAATTGAAGTGGGAAAAAAAACTGATTTTCATATATATTAATTTTATTTAATTAAGAATAAGATTTATATAATAATTGATTTAAGTTCATTTGCTGATTTAAGTTTTTTTTTTGTATAATTACATTTGTGAGACATAATTAAAAATTTTACAATATTCATGATATATAAAATGATTTCAATTATTCACTTGATTTATCTATAATTATTCAAAATTGATTTTTTTTACGAAATTTTTATTTCTTAGTACATATAGCTTTTTTTAAATTTATTTAAAGCTTAAGCATGAGTTATTGAAAGTTATTCGCAATAGATAAATCTTTAATGAAAATTTCAGACTATTGAATGCACAATAGCTTTTCAGTACAAATATTTCTTAATTATTACAAATTATACAATGTTACGTTTTGAAATGTTTATATAAACATTTATTGTTTTGATATCACATCATAAATAATTAGATTTGTAAATATTTATGCATTTATAGGAAATTAAAATTTGTAAATTAACACAAGAATATTGTATCGGAACAATATTATTTAAAAAAAATAAAATTATTAAACAATAGCCATAAATTTTAACTTTATGTTTATCATATATCATTTTAATAATAGATATCGCATTAAAGTTCAATAATTGCATATTTATTTTTTTTGCATTTAAATATTTTTATTTTCAATCTGTCGACATGGCAATATTGACAAAATACTGCAAATTCGTGCAATTCTATCAAATGTGTTTACTACTTCGACAGCGAAAATTGTTCAAAATATTGAATATGGTTTTTTCTAAAGATAGAATTATAATACATGAGATAGAAACTTGATAATTTTAATTTTTATGAAACAGAAAATCTTTTATACATGATGTAATTTTAAAAACAGATTTCAAAAAAACAGATTTTGAAAGCAATAAAATTAATTTTTATGGAATAAAAGAATTTTAATTCTAATTTAAAAATTAATTTACAAAATCAATTCTAGACTTAAAACGACTAATTGAATAAAATTGTTGTGATAAATAGTTGAAACAAGTTATGGCAAGATCGTTATTTTCTTAAAATTAAGTAGATTAGTTCCGTAATCGTGGAGTATGTTACCAGACTGCTTACAAACTACATTAAGCGTAATGGTTCCGTATTCACGGTTTTAGCTACGCCAGTCTGCTTACAAATTGCGGTAAACATGTCCGAAACTTTCCTTCCTTGGATGTTTTTTTTTAGTTTCTCCATCAAAAAAACTATGTTTCTTACATCCTTTGCCAAAATAAACGATTAAATTCCAATACGAAAAATGTCAAGTGGCAATAAAGTATCTTAGAAACAAATTCTAAATATTCAGAAGATTTTAATTAAAATATTTTATATTTAAAATCCAAATTGATTTTATTTTGCATAAGGTGATAAATAAGATGTCTTTATTATTTAAAGTAAATATGAAAAAAAAATCCAAGGAATATATAGATTAAATTGAATTAGATTAGGTTAGATTAAAAATATTTTATGTTTAAAATTTATTTTATTTCATTTTGATGATTAAAGTGTCTTATGTTATTCATGAAAAAGAGAAAATGTAGTAATATAATTTAGATTAGATTTTACAATAAACTATTTTTATATATTCGATATGGAAGAATGATATAAATATTTTATGTGAGAACTAATAAAATTTTAGGTTAGGTTAGATTAGTTTAATCTATGTGATGAGTAAAAGTGATAGATTAAA